TAGAAAAATTATACTCCTCCGATAAAGCACTCATCCGAAAGCCGAAAGATGAGACACATGACGGTCGTGCCTGATATAAACGGGAGTATTGATCATTAAGCAATTTTGACCGCGTAGAATTTTCGGTTTGTGATAAGACTTTGAAATAATGCTTAAGACAAAGATTTTCACGTCTTAACCGCAGGGAGGTCTCGTTACTTTCCACATATAAGCTTTCCACTGGAGAAGTTCTAAAGGCACCAGTGCATATCCGAAGTGCATGGTGATGTATCGGATCGAGTTTGGCTAATACTGAAGGCCTTGCCGACCCATAAATGATTGATCCATAATCTAGTTTCGAACGAATGAGAGCTCTCTATATAAGAAGCATTGAGCTTCGATCAGCACCCCAAGAAGTATTTGACAGTACTTTCAGAATATTCATAGTTTTTAAACATTTCTTTTTTAGATATGTAATATGGGGGAGGAACGTAAGCTTATGGTCAAATATCATTCCTAGGAATTTTATTTCCTTTTCTACAGGAATCAGCACATCTTGCAGATAAAGTTCGGGGTCAGGGTGAAGAATTTTCTTTCGACAGAAATGTACACACACAGTCTTTTGAGTAGAGAATCTAAAACCATTTTCCTGTGACCATTTAACAATTCTATTGAGAGATGTCTGCAATTTACATTCGATGTCTTTCAGGTCTTCTCCCTGGCAACTGACTTGCAGGTCATCGACATAGAGCATACCCTGGACTGCTAGAGGCAGTTGTTTTAAAACAGAATTAATTTTTATACTAAATAATGTAACACATAATACACTTCCTTGCGGAACGCCCTCTTCTTGATGGAACATGTCAGAAAGTGTATCGCCTATCTTCACATGAAACTTCCGATCCTGTAGGAAATGTTTGATGAATATCGGCATGTTTCCTCCTAAACCATTGTTATATAGGTCACGAAGGATGCCGTATCTCCAGGTGGTATCATAGGCTTTCTCTATATCAAAGAAAATGGAAACATAATGATTTCTTCTAACGAACGCTCTACGGATACCTGTTTCTAAGAGTAGGATATTATTGATAGTTGCTCTTCCTTTTCTAAAACCGTTCTGATAAGCGGAGATACAGTTATTTGTCTCTAAATAATAAACCAGACGAGTGTTGACCATCTTTTCAAAGAGTTTGCAGAGGCAGCTAGTAAGGGCGATGGGACGGTAATCCGACGGATTAGTAGGGTCTTTTCCTGGTTTAACAATGGGGATGACAAAAGCTATTTTCCAGTCATTTGGAAAGACTTGTTCCTTCCATACTCTATTAAAGAGAAAGAGGATGGTTGCCAATGACTTGGAAGGAAGATGTTTCAGCATAGGATAGGCAACCATCTGGACCAGGACATGAATTTTTTGTCTGCAGCAGAGCTCTTTTCAATTCAAGCACAGTAAAATCCTGATTACATGGTTCAGTATTGGGAGAGTTGAAATTAATTAGTTGTTTTTCAATGCATTTTTTTGCGGAAAGAAATTCAAGAGGGTAGTTACTACTGTGTGAGACGGCTGAGAAACTCTGTCCAATAGCGTTGGCAATTTCTTCCCTACTAGTAACTGTTTCGCCACTTGTCTTTAAAATGGAAAGTGTGTGCTCTTTGTAGATACCGGACGCTTTCCGGACTCTCTCCCACACCTTCTTACCCGAAGTCGAAGAGCTAATCGAAGACACATACGAGATCCAAGAATTCTTCTGACTTTTCCTTCGCACCTGCCGAGCTTTTGCTTTAGCCCTTTTGAATATTACGAGATTTGATTCTGAAGGATATCGCCGAAAAATGCTCCAAGTTTTTCTTTGTTTTCTGATGGCGTCCTGGCATTCAGGATTCCACCAGGGCTTTGGGTATTTTGGCTGTTTACCCAACGTTTTTGGTATACATATATCAGCTGCTTGAATAATTTTATCTGTAATGATCTTCACAGCCTGATCAATGTGCACATTCTTTATTATTTCTTCAGTAAAAAGAGCATAATGTAAGTCCCAGTCGGCTTTGTCCAACAAAAAGCGTGGTGTTCTAGGTATAAACACACTCCTATTTCCTGTAATGCTTATGATAATAGGAAAATGATCGCTATTATATAGATAATTCTCGACATTAAAAAAACAAAAAGGCAAAAGCTGTGGAGAAACAATAGCAAGGTCAATGGAATGGAAGGTCCTTGTTGGCTGATGAAAATAAGTGCTTTCTGTGTTGTTAAGGATACAGAGACAGTGGTCGTGGAGTAGCTGTTCAATTTGCTTTCCTCGTGGGTTTATGTCTTTACTACCCCACAAGGGATTGTGTCCATTGAAATCACCGACTAGAATAAACGGAGCTGGTAATTGGGCAATTAGAGATCCTCTAAATCTCTTACAGTTAATGTTCTCATTAGGCGGGATGTAAATACTGCAGACAGTAGTCAGTGTTCGAATGCTCAACTGTACTGCAACTGCTTGGAGAGGACTATCCAAAGGGAGAGCACTCGAAGGGCAATTAATTGAGGTAAGTAGACAGACACCACCACTTGCGCGTTCACTGAATGTCTTATCCTTTCTTGTCATCGAGTACCTACGTAGGTTTGCAAAATTACCAGGTTTGAGGAATGTCTCTTGTATCGCTATACAAATAGGTCGATATTTATTAATAAGTTGCTTAATGCCATCAATACCCTGATAGAAGCCCCGGCAGTTCCACGAAATGAGAGTAGCCATTAGGAATGTTTATTGCTTCGATGCTGTTTCTTTGTTTTGTGAGGTAGAACATTTTTCGAGAGATCTCCGCCTCCATCTGTTTCCATCTCAGATTCGATAAAGTCTGAAAAGGTCCCTTCAATAGAGCTTCGGTTTGAGCTTCTCTTTTCTGAGCTTTTGATTTTCTTTTTTGAACTCTCTGTTTCTTGTGTTTTTATTTCTCGATTTTCTATTGTCTGTTTGGGAGGAGGTAGAAGAAAGACTTTTCTTTGTCATTTGTTTTTGGTTCAGGTATCTTCTTCTGTGTGCTATGCGATGTTTGTGTACTTATTGACCGATATGATTTAGTGGCTTGTGCATAGGAGACATTTGCTTTTGACTGACCCGTGCTAAAAAGTTTCTTAGCTTCAGGATAGGAGATTTTTCTTGTAGTCTAGGAGTCTTAATATGCTGTATTTCTTTCTCTTCTTTCCACTTAGGGCAGTTTCGTGAGTATGCTGGATGATCGGCATGACAGTTTGCACATTTTGGATCAGCTACACAATTCCTGACTTTCGTGACCTCCTGCAGAACAGCGAGCACATGCCAGGTTTCCCCGGCATGCGGCCTTCGCATGGCCAAACCGTTGACACTTGAAGCAGCGCAGTGGGTTCGGCACGTAAGGTCTGATGGGGCAATTTAGGTAACCTGCCTTAATGGCTTTCGGTAGCTCTGGAGAGGAGAAAGACAGAATAAGATGTTTTTGTTGACGAGTTGCCCGTCTCTACGGATTTTATTCGGCGGACGCCACATAACATTTTGCTCGGCGAGTTCTTTTGAAAGTTCATCCTCAGAGACTGATATCAAGTCTATTTCCGAAATGACACCTCTTGACGTGTTCAAAGACTTATGTGGGGATACAGTAATAGAATGTTCCCCCATTTTGGTCATTTTTTGGAGAGAGGAAGATTGTGCATCAGATGTAGTCTCGATTAGCAGAGATCCTGAACGGAGCTTTTTGATGTGTTTTGGCTCGCTTACTGAGGCCGCAATATGCTTATGGATGAAGAATGGTGATAGATTTTCTAGCTCACCAGTGAATAACTAAGAACTTTGGATATTTGTTTGTGCTAATTAAGGTCGAAGTACAAATTCTTTTAGCAGCTCCAGAATTTTTCGTATCCATATGGTTAGGATAAGAAGTTAAATTATTCATATTGAAAAGAGAGAAGGTTTCGGGCCCGACCGCCCCACCCACCATGGAGCCCAAGAAGGGAACACAGATCCCTGTGTTAGGGCTAGCCGGGCCTATACGCAAACTGAAGCCCCCACAATCGGCTTTCCCAAAAGCGGAGACTTCCGAGAGCTTATCCCCTAGCCACTGACCAATAGGACTAGTGGCCAGCCGATTGACACTAGCGGGGACAGCTAAGTGCCTCCCGTTTTAAGTAGAAGCAGAGGCCAAAGCAGTGTGTTGGGGACAGTACCTCGCCCCTCAACTGCCAGGATCCTCCTTTCCCACCCTACGGGTCACCATGCACGGCAAACGCATAGGCGGTATTCTCACCATGGTGAGACAGAAACCAAGAGTAGTAGCTGCATCTCACAGTGAGCCCCAACCTCCAGTAGAGGAAACCACAAGGGAGAAAAATAGGAGAAAGAGCTAGACAAGAGGAGAGGAAAGAGAGGAGGAAAGGTCACTAGGGCCCCGGGAGTGTAATACCCGATCACCAAGACGGCAATCCCCTGAGGTTTCTTCACCTGCTATGCTTTAGCTGGGCATGTTGGAACGGCCTTCACGCCTAGGGTGGCCCTACCAGGAGCTATGCTCCCGACGTACTTCGCCCGTTCCGCCCAGTGACACCCCCCGCCACGTTGAGGCAGCATAGCAGGACTTTGGGGGGTTGTCGCCGTGTGAACGGGACACGTTGGAAAAATCAGTTTTCGCTACCGGTCGAATCTGCTCTTGTGAACGGGGCTTAGGAGGATTTATTATTTTATGATGCGATATTTCTTTCGGATGATTATTTCCGATTGATTTCTTTATAAACAGATTATGTTTTTGCCTTGATACAAGTGATTTACTATTGTAAGTGTAAAATAGTAGAATAGTGTAAAATAGTGAGATTACTTTTACGTCATATGATAGAATTAACTAATATCTGTTAGAATATTTTTTGCTTTTTAATGGGGTTTCTAAGATGCACCAAGCTTTGTGTTTACCTATGAATGCCATTCTTGAGTGTACTGCAGCCTTGAATTATGATTTCTTCTGAATGGCTAAGTATTAAAAAATTCAATAAATATTTATGTACTTACGACACAGTTCTTGAGATCTCCATGGCAAGACAATACCACGATGGGCACATTTTTGAGCATAAGCTGCAATCACTGCGCACAGGCATTCACAATCTCCACCGGCATTGCAGGCGCATGTATCAAAAACACATCTGGAAAACATAAAATTTATAAAATAAAAACTAAAACTTTTAGGACATAAAAAATTTTTTAAATTATTTTACATTTGAAGAATATAGCTGAATTTAATCATTGAAATGTTACATTTTCTGTGCGGTAGAATATTTGGTATTCGGAATCCGCATACTTACAGAACAGACCTTAAAAATTAATTTCTTAAACATTAAAACACACACTAAAACATTATTAAAAAACATTATCATACCATTAATTAAAAAGAGCATTCTAAATTACGGTATCAAATATTTCCGATATGTAATTAGAAATGTGCTACTTTTGCAACAAAATATGGTAAAAAAATACGTAAAATAAATTCAAACGCACAAAAATAAGCAAAATAAATTTTAAATACATAATGTAATTAGTTTTAAATATGCTAATTTGTAAAACGTCTGCTTTTTAGTTTGATCGTTTTCTTTTCTAGCGTTAAAATAGTAACACGCTTATCATAATTCTTCATGAGCATAATTTTAAAATTAATATCTGTCATATGATTCTTATATAAAGCTCATATAAGAATCATAAAAGCAAAAGATTTTTAAACAATAATAACGTTAAATTCTGAAAACGACGCTTAGAGAAATTCAAGAATAAACCTAAAATATAAAAGAAATTTTCTCCTTTGTTACTGTATACGTTCGTAGTATAACTGAAAGCACGTACGGCTAGCAATCGGGAGGTTCGAAATTAGATTTCTGGAGAGGTCACTGCTGAATTTCTGCTTTTCCTGCTTGTACAGGCCCAAGAAACTATACAACCTCACTATTCTTTATCTAGCACTTTGTTTCGTTAATTGTATGGTCTTTATCTCTTGCATTTGCCTTGCGAATATGTTGCCTGTAGGTTTTCCACTTTCGCGGGAGCAGTTGAACGTAAAAACGTGAAACGTTTATTTAGTGGTGCACCCTTCTCTGTGCTTATATTTCGTCAGTATGAGAATTAGACTTGATAAATCTAATTCTAAGTATGAGAATTAGACTTGATAGTAGATAAAATTAGCTGGAAAATAATTGTGCATTTATTAAAAAAAATAAATATTCGGTTTCGTCTTCTGTTGTATCTAGCTCATTTCGTTATTACATTAATTAGCACCATTTTGAGCACATCATCAAATATTATGTTTTATATATCTATATATTAAGACTTAATGGATCAAATGTGGATGTAATGCCCATAGCCCTGATGGGGAAAAAAAAAAAAAAAAGATTTAAAATATGCATTTTTTTAAACTGCAAGTAGATGGCGCTCTTACATAATCCTTAGTTACAGTTACAGTTCCCACATTATATATATCCAAAAATAGTTTCTCACGAGCCAGTGACTTGATATAACGTACAATGTGAAAAGAGAGCGTTGAAAATTTGAAAAGGAGAAGGAATCGTCGGAATTGCCTTGGAGTTCAGAACAATGAACTTCGGAAGAAATGAAGTCATCAAACATAATAACACTTTTCAATTGATGCTATTTTATTTTTAATAAAATACTGAAAGAAGTATCCAAACGTTTAGATTTGTCGAATTTAGAAATTAAAGTCTGAATAGATGGAGGATTAAAAAACGAATCTTCATAATCCGCTACAGCTTATCTCAAGAGAAAACAAAAATTCGTTACATGTCGCGGTCTTCCGAAGAAATACATCTAAGGAGACTCTGGATCCATCGAGAATGGAAATTTAGCTTTCTGGATTTCGTTCTATAATTATCTAACTATGAAAAATCTTGGAAAAATACGTTTCCTAATTACCTGGCGAACTAATAATCAAGTGGCTAAAGCGAACAATATAGGGCCTTTAGAGCTGGCATATTAAGCCCTGTTTCTGTTTTTCTTCCCCATGTCAAGTGATCATGAACTAGTTTCCTTTCTAAAGCCTTTCAAGAACATCTGTTTTCGATTTTTGTCACCACAATGACAAAACATTTCGTAAATAACCGAATAATTAGCTTTAAACATTTTGTTCTATTTCAAATCAACTAAAACTGTCAACATTGTTTTCAAAATAATTTTAAAAAACATGCTTTATCGATATATTTCCAGCTTACAGTATATGACTTTAAATAAATCACTTGAATATTATACTGCCTGTACTTTCCTAAATCTGTTTAAAAATGTAAAATTATTTCTTACCTAAACAAAACATTTGCAAAACGTTCTTTATATCAAGATTGGCTAATATTTATACATCTGATTCACCGGACAGCATATGAGCTTTGTTTAAAATATTAAGAAGCACTGTAGATAAACTTGGTTTTTTATGTTAGAGAAGTGAATAATGAGTAATGCCCTCGCCAGGACTCAAACCTGGACCTCTCGAATACGCGCCGAATGTGCTGCCGTTACGCCACGAAGGCATGCAGAATGGAGGGAAAAATAGCTTATAGGATATCCCCAAAAGTATGTTTATTATATATACATTAAGAATGTTCATATATATGTAAGAGGTTTTATCCAGCCAGGAGATATGGAACTGATGTCACTCCAGGTTGCCGGCAGCACAAGTAGTGCATGTGGACGAAAGCAGACATATTTGGTTATACCGGAATCCATGACGCAGATGGAAGCACTGAAGAAAGGTAGACGGCCTTTACAGGAGTTGTAAAAGATGATCTTCTAGGTGTTTAACAGTGTTCAGTCAGCATATGAGGATATTTGAAATTTGTGCTGGATTTCGCTGTATGATGGAATACATCCAGCGAAATAGAACTGTGTATAGATTACCATATTCTTGTGGAGCAACTGTGTATTAAATCCTAATTAGCCAGTATTCTTATTTAATCGCAATAGTTTAATCAATAAGAAGTTAATAAAGTAGTACAGTTTAAGCTTTGAATTGTGTTATCCATTTACACCCCACATATTTTTATCTCTTCTAGATGAAAAACTTAACTAAGTTAGTAAATTGGTGTTTTGAATTGGCGGAAAGAAAATTAAAATTCACTAATTCAATGCAAGAAAGTGCCATCTTAAATATCTTATTAATATTGTAACATATAATTACAATTCATATGAGAAAGATTATTAAAAGTAGATTGATTAGTGCTAATGGTAAAATGCTAATTAACGAAAAATGTACTCTTTTTAAAACCGGTTTCTCTGTTAGCTGTAAGTACTAGTATCGTTTTATTTTTTTTTTCCAAACGGTCTCTGAAGAAAGTAGGCACAACATACAGAGAATTTTTTAAAGGAAAGGACTTACTTCCAACAATGCCAAAAAAGTATTAAATTTATTTATTAGACATTTTATGTGTGCGACTTTTGTAAGTGAACATAACACCAAATCAATAATCAATTTCGTGCAAACAGGTTTTGCAACTGTGAAAATGTTAGACATTGCTGCAACAACTCGCAGTTAACTTATTGTAATGTGATGGGTAAAGGCGATACTAGTATTAGGTACATTTAGTTCTGTTCTTATATAGTACTTATACGTAAACCATTGGCATAATTAAGGAATATTTAATATTTCAGGATCATGATTAATAATTTTTATTGTTTCTTTCCTTCTTTTCATATCTTCTCTCATCAATACACTAGTATTAATCTCGTCAAAAGTATTTGACTAGAATGCTCAATAAGAGTGATGGTAGAAGGAAATACTTCCGGGACTGGGTTATTTATGGAACTTGGATTTCTCATTCGTCAGCAAATCTTCCTTTAGCTAATGCAGGAAATACAAATGAAGCATTTTTTATATCGTAATATCATAAATATAAAAGCATCCACCAATTCAAAGTTAAAAATTTCAAAAAATAAAAAATAAAAAAATGACTAATTTTTATAAAAAGCTGTGTTAAACTTTTTTTTAATCAGTCATCATATCATGCTTATTAAATGGTAAAATGATTAGGTACTGAACAGTAATTAGTAACATTAGTACGGAACTCCTCTCAATAGAGGAGATTAAATTTTAGGGTAATTTTATAGTAAGTTGTATTATTATAGTCTCATGTTTTGTAGTTTTTAAAATTTTCTTTAAACAATTCCGTTTATAATTGCACCCTTCATTCATGTTTTCTCGATTTTTGTAACCAATTCCCGGAGGGTAAGTAGACCTTTACATTTTTGGAACTAAATTTATATTTAATTTACATTCCGAATTTAATTTCATTATCGATGTATATATATACACACACGCACATATATATAGCTGCGTTTCTAAAAGATGAAAGCATTTCATTTGTAGCATTTAAAATAGAAAAAATAAAAAAAATCTGAAAGCTTTCATATTTTTCGTTTACAATTTATGCATACACGTTTCGAGAGAAAAATGATTTGTTCCATACAGTGTTGCCACTGCTTGCATTGAAATCATTGATTTCAAAGATTTGAATTGAGATTTTTAATCAAAAGTTCCTTAAAATATTCAAAATATGAAATAGATAATAAAACAAATTCAAAATTCGGGCTTCATGGTACTGAAATTCGGATGCAGGACTATGTTATTCAAATTTGATGGCTGTAGGTACCGTTGTTATTGCAAGAAACATACATACACTCATGTATTTTAATTTCTTTAAATGCATTATTTAATTTCTTTAAATAGAATACAGAGCAATAATATTTGGTGGCAACAATTTGAAAAGTGACTCAACGCTTTTAGTGATTCGAAGCAAAATGCCTTTCGAGAATAAGAGCTCTTCTGGGTTGAAGCCTGTTTGGGCTAATAATATTTCGTTTATTTTGTTTTGTAACAATATTAATATCATTCCTTGAAGTTAATATTATTCCTTGTTTATTTTTAAGCGTCCATTAATGAGAAAATAATTCTTTGACTTTTTATGAATTTTCAGATTTGGAGATTCTAAAAATCTATTATTATCAATATTTTTGAAAGAATAATCTAATAAAGATTACATGAGTAGCTGTGGCTATATATAGAATTAATTTTTATTAGAATGCTATGCAAAGCACTACTCTTTATTATTATTTCGTTATTATATATACAACATTATTCCTTATTAGATTATTTGCTAGTGAAAGGATTTCTTGCTCTACGCTACTTCAAATTTACCTATACGAACGAGACATTATGCCAGTTATTACGCCATAACATTATATAAAAAGTAGTCAAAAAAGTGAGTGTAAAAATAATGAATTTGTTAGTTGATTTTCCTTTTCTTTGAAACATGATGCAATTTATAATAAAAAATTTTGATTGCAAGCAAAAAGAAATGAATTGTTTTATCATTTAAAAGCAACTTGAAATGTAAATTTTTTTTCTGTAATAATGTATCAGTTTCTTCACGAAAATTCGAATTTAAATTTTTTACCTCTTATATAATTTGTGATTAAACAAATGATAGTTGTTAGTTGCTAAAAAAGGAACAGTAAGTTTTTATTTCCATATCGATTTCGGGAAAAAATTTACATTTCTTTTTATTTTTGCGCTTAACCATAGGCTTATCTTGTCTATTTATTCCTTTTCTTCATGCTTTCAGATTCAAATAAATTATTAAAAACCGCCAGCTTTAAAAGAAATCACATTTTACTTTAAAATAATTTTTCAGAATGTCAGAAATATTACATATTAATGTTTTAAAATATCTAGCATGATAAAAACTTTCATTCGTTGTTTTTATTTCAATCACCAAATTTTCTACTTTCATTTTCAAATTTCACCAAACGCTACATAGAAAATATTTAATGAAACAATTCTTTTTTTTCCCCTAATATTGCCTGAATTTAACGTATTTGTGCTTCTGAAAGAATCTTGCAAATAAGAAGAAATTAATTACTTTACGAAACAGACAAAAATTTTAATAATCATAATAACAACAGCAATCATAATAATTAGAGAAATAATTAAAAATACATTGGATAATTCAAAATTTGAGGGAATTTTAACAGAAATTTGATATTTGATGAAAGCATTTCAATAGCTTTAAAGAAGTAATATGAGTAATTTACAAATATTGTATGAATAATTTACAGATATAGATATAACATATAGAAATGACAAGATGAAATTCGCAAAATAATCTGGGAATTAATAAGACCATTGATCCGTGTTAACTTTTCTTGAAATGCATAAAACTTTTCTTTAAATTTAACACAATCGGAGATGAAATTTCTGTAATTAGAATCCGTTCACTAATAGATAAATTCTTATTTATCAACAAGAAATAAATTTATATTCTGAAGAACTAAATAAATTTTCTGTTGTTATGAAATGATGACCATAAGAGGAAATGCCTTTCGCTTAACACTAATCGCTCTCCTTAATCAAAATTACTAAAACCTGCTCAAACAATCATTTACTTTTATAACTTTAGTTACAAATATTGAACATGATTCAGATATATAGCCAGACTTGCAAGAGCATAAATCTATTCTTTTTCTTTCTTGGAAAAAAAAAAAAAAAATTAAGAGCAGAGCAATGAAAGCATACTGCTTGAATTTGTTGCCAAGATAGAGAGATTTCCTGTAAAACTAAATTCCTAGCAATAGTTCAGAAATTGCGGAGAAACCTTTAAACGGATCATTCTTTCGCGGAAATAGGAAACTACAGTAACATTTTTCTTCTTCTTTCCTTAAAGTAATATGTGATATAACGAGTAGCTGCTTCGAATTACAATACATTTTACTTCAATCAGTTTGCGAGACTTGACCATTATTTCAAAACTTAACTAATGCAAAAACGTTCTGGACGCACACGCGAATTTGAATTGTAAAAGCTGACCTTCACTCTTCAAAATAAAACACTTCACGCATCTACAGGAATAATTTTAAGTAATTCGTCTTGATGCATTTACAGAGATAATTTGATACAATTCCTTTTCATGCAGCTCTAAGCACTGTTTTAGTTTAAACTAAATGTTTTGTCATTTAACTGGATTAATGCAAAATTAAATTTGCTGTTTTTAAAATATAATATATTGAGTATTAAATAATACAATAGTTATTGAAAAAAGATGACAGACGAATAGTGTTAAATAAAATCAAAGAAATCATACAGCTGAAATAAAAGGGAAAACTTTTGAAGTTATTAATTTTTAAACATCATTTGAGTAAGAGAAAACTATATAACTTGATTTCTACCAAAACTAAATAGTTATAAAAATACTATAATGTATTAGAAACTTCATTTTTATTATTCTTTAGTCTTAGAATTAATTAATTTATATGCATTGGATCTCTAGGAAAATGCTGGATGAATTAGGAATATACCATGAAAGTACAATGCGGCGGTGGGGGAGGAAGACAGTTCTATATCTCCCCTTCTACTAGGCCGATTGACGAAACTCAAAATGCGTTTTCCAAGTCTCGAAAGCGCGACTTAGGATATATATTAGATTAATATATAGCGTTGCTGTAACATAGGTATTTTTACACAAAATCGTACGTTTTCTGAAATGGCATGCCAATTCTTTCCATATTTCGATTCTGCAACTCAAATTACGTCTAAATATGAAATTTTGTAAAATTTGGAGCGAAATTTACGGAGAAATTCACAAATTTATGTTGGCACTTTTTCAGTTTGCGTAACTTGGCGAACTTCTTAATTATGCCTAGATATTAAATTTTGCAATTTTTGGTGAGAAATTTATGTAGAAATTAAAAAATTTATATTGGCGCAATTCTTTCAGTTTGAGCCATGAATAATTCACTTGGCGAACTTTTAAATTTATAGCAACCTATTTTCCTTTCTTTTTTTTTCTTTGTCCACGAGCGGGGGAAAAAACCATCATCCATACTTTCAAATAATTTTAACAGAGTAAACCATATTTTCGTTATTATCGCTTATAATAAATACTCCGAATTTCAAAACGCGCCAAAATATAAATTCACGTATAGCTTAGGAAATTTTGAATAAAAGGATCTAATGTTTTGCAGGAATGCTTAGAAATACCTCTATTGTAAGATGATGGAAAAATTTTATAGGTTATAATTCAAAATGTTTTTGGAAGCATTTATAAAAATTATTTTAAAATACAAATTTTAAAAATAAATATAAAACTGCCCCTATTTTGCGCAGTGAACATGTTATGCGAAACAAAATTGTTACTATGAAAAGTAGGCATCATCCGTATCGATGACTTTTTGACAACATTCAAGGAGGTTTTAGATGCCGTCTACGTAAAATAAAGCTTACTTGAAATCGAAGGTGGTTTTCAATTAATAATTTGCTTACGCTTCGTTGGCAAAGCTCTGTCTTTCATTAAAATAGTTTGGTGACCAAAAATTAAAGCAGTCTATTACTGCAAGATCTGGATTATTCAACGATAAAACAAAACATCTCAGCCTAGTTCCAGAAACGCTTGACGAATGGCTCGATCAAGAATCAATCCTGCCAAGAATTAATAAACCTCTGCTATGTGAATTTCTCAGGTAGTTGCTATAATCGTTAACATAGTTTAGTTGCGATTTTGATGCGGCAGAAATAGCTATTACAGAATTACTGCATGTAAATACTATCAAACACCGAAAATGGCTTGTTTGAAGCAAGGATTATTTCTTTCCTTATGATTTAGGTAAAAGAATTTGAAAGCCTAAGTCTTCAATACATGACAAGAAGCGACATGAAAACGCTGGATTAGGCAACCGGAATTAACACTAAATTAGATAACATATCGAAGAAAATAATTTTTTTAAAATTCATAAGGTTTAATCATAGTGCTCAGAGTAATAATAATCTATAATGTTAAATCTTTCTCTAGCAACGTGATAGTTAAAAAAATCTGTGCTAATCATACTCTGTTCTATCTATTCGATAAATAAATATATATATCGTGTGATGCTGTAATTCATATATCAGTTATACGCTGAAAAGGTTTGAGCCTGTAGCACTTTACAATGTATAACTTATTTACTGTTTTCTTTCAGTTTTTAGCAATTGTTTACTATTGCATCCGTTAATTAGTTTTAAAACTTACTAATCTATGACCAATATATGAAATTTACGTTTTATCGTCTTTCAGATTGTATTTAAAATATTTTAAAACTGACCTCTTATAATATTCTTCCACTTCGACTTGGTGATGACAAGGCTTAAAGAGGTCAGATTTCAAAACAATGCATTTCTGACGAGACCACGATCTTCTTTCTGGATTTTCTTCACATGCATCTTTAGGTTGCTTGGCTGGCTTGCAATACTTATGTACTCGCCAACTATCTGCGAAATCTTTAGCTAAGACGAGAGGTATGCCGCCAGATGGAGGTCGAAAGTCGTCAGAAGCATCTGAATTAAAATCTCCGCACAAGCCTTGCAACTAGAATGCAGTATTAGGAAATCGTTAATAAAATTGTCAAAAACAGAAATAACTGAAAACTTAACAAGAAGGTAACTAAAATTCGACAGATAATAAGATGCAAAATAGTAGATGTGTTGGCAAGATATAGACAAACTAATTGCTGAGCGTAATGTAAAAATAAAATTTAGTAACTATTACTTCCAGAAGTCTAAACAAACGGTATTCAGGAGAAAGGCTGTATTGATTGAATGGTTAAAGTGATTAAATTAGATTATGCAAAGTTCACATTGGTTGCTAGTTTAAGACCGACTGCGGAATTAAATTAAGAAAAGTTCGAGTATTTATTATAAATACTTACTTTAACAGGAGAATAGTTTGGGAGACAAACAATGAACATTCACTGGCCAAATTAAAGATACGAATGTTTTTCGTGGAAGCTTTAAGTTGTTGTTCTGTAAAATGATCGTACAATCTTTAACCGTTATTTGAGAAATGATGGTAACCTACTAGAAGTTCTACAGTTAAATAACAATTTCCAACATGTTAATAATTCTAAATATGCTGATTAGGCATCCTAAATGTGTTTCTTGATATAGAAGGTGTAATTAATGTAATCAAAGGCTAAGGAATGGGCTCAGATAAAAAAATCATGGATTATGTTATTGTTATACACGTGAAAAATGAAATAAGCTGCATGTTTCTAAATTTCACAGCAGAAGGCATTAAAGATTCTTATATTCTTCTTGGGAAAAGTAATTCCCAAGAACATTAGTCCCATCAGCTTCTCCGAAATTCTACGAAATTATAAAGGACTGTAAGTACATACTTGGGTGAAATGATAGTTCACATAATTACTCTCTCACAGTTAAGCAATAAACCTAGACTCTAAGTCTAAATAATATTAATACTAATAAAATTCCTTGCTGCAAAGGGTATTAATGTGCAAATGGTGTAGCCTATTAATGTGCATAGCTGCTAACCAGAAGATCTCAATTCGAATCCAATAGCTTCCAACGCACATTTTAATTGATATTTTAAATTTTTAACTTTTATTTGGCTTTGAAAGGCAATTTATTCATCCCCCATCCCCAAGGGGAAAAAACATTTTTTCGTTCAAAAAAATAAAAACAATTACATTGCTCTAAATTATCATAACCTTTTTAAGTTTACAGATGAAATTTACCATAAAAATATTCAAAACATAAAATAATGGCTTCCGGAATGCACTGATTTACAGTAACTTAAATTATCGATAGCATGTATTTCGTATGTCAAATGCAGAATCACGAATGTGACTTTTTGCTTTAATTTGAAACTCCGTGTTTAGCAAATGTAATATTTCATATATTTTTATTATAATTTGAAGCTATATTGAACAGAAGGCCAATACTTATTTTTGCAGATTAAGAGCTGAAAATATCTGTGTACCTTTACAAAGCATGTTAAATTACAAACTAGGATTTTCAATAAAAATAACGGAAAATATTTCGATAACGGTGACTCTAAACAATTAGACTAAAGCATTTTAAAACCCCTTTAAACGAAAAGCCCAGAAAAGTAAAACATCTGTATTGTTAAACGGTTACTGTTGTTTATCTCTATTCTTTATTAACAATTTATTGAATTCTTTTACACATTTTATGAAATTTGTTAATCCCACGGAATTAATTTCTTGCAAAATATTTCGCTTTGTTCCTTGAAATAAATTACATGTAAGTCGAAATACATGATCTAATGCTTGAAAGTGTAAAGAATAAAGTATTCTATGCGTAAAGAATGCAATTAAATCATTCCATTTATAAAATTGGTTGAAATTAAACTGACACAAAAGCTAATCTGATTTTAGTCTTGGGCCGTTTACTAATTATTATTCAATACTTGACTCACTGTAGATACGTTAATATGATGAAGCAAATAAGGGCTATGTGTTAATCTGCTACTTCGAAGATCGTCTTAAAAGTCTTCTAGTGTCTAATGAACCTAATATTTCAGAATCGATTGGTTGCCGCTAGTAAGTTAGTTGAAAGCTAATTATAGCTGTCGGCATTGGGAGATTGGAGAATTTCAAGTATTTCTAGACGTATAGAAAACCGATAATATATTATTAGTTCAGTCAGTCTGCGTTTCGGGTCTTTAGGGTATTACTTGGGAACCTTTTCTCAAGAATGGAACATGTTGAAATTGAATGGTTAAGTAAATAATGATGACAATGCAATCGATGGGTATTCGGCTGTAAAGCGGTCTGCTTCAGGGATTCCTAGTAAAGTGAATGTATTTATATTACAAATGGAATGAATGTATGAAAATAAACACTTCATTCAGATATCACCACTAGATCCTCTTTAATTCATCATTTCTTTACTTTAAATACGCTAACACGCTTGGAAACGTCAAAAGAAATTCATATCTCAAAATATCCAATACCCAGAAATCTACTATTTTAGAAATTGGATTAAAATTATCCAAACAAAAATAATTGATGTAATCTCTTATTGAATATCATTATTTCTTTCCACGTTAAATAATGATAAATTACTAATACAGGATATAGTAAGCTTTGAGAAAGAGAAGCTTTCGATTCGCTTGATATCCGTAATTTAATAAAGGTCGTCGAATAAGAGGGATTGCTATAAATATCCGTATGGAATCAGATCCTGCAGGGAAGATATAATGGGATAGCTGGGAAAGAAATCGATCTTTTTTTATCGAGACGTAAGGGTAAGATAAATTTCGCTTGAGCTATAAATCTCTATCTATCTATCTATCTATCTGTAATGAGATTATTAATGGAAAAGTGTATCGAAATCAGTTTTTAATTTATGAGCGTCGTACGTCTCTAATTAAGGACGTAAGTTTTAGGATGATAGTGGAAAATAATTAAAAATAACGTGAAGAAAATTATGAAATAGATGTTTGCCTCTGAAAGTTAAACATATAGGTACAGCTGAATTTATTTTAGAATAAAAAAATTTTAACATAAATAAAATGTAGAGCACAATTGGGCTGTAATTATTCTGACTACAATAACCGGACTCAAACTTGAAAGGTATTTCTCCCACTTCCCTAGCGTGCCTTCGTGGTGTACGGTAGCACGCTGGGCCGGTATTCCAGAGGTCCGTTGTTCGATTCCCGGCGAAGGCGGTTGCATATTTTTCATCTCTCCGGTCTCCAAATAAATCCTAATGTTTCTACAAACTGTATGATAACGTTATTTTTTTGCTAAGCTCAGCGAAACCAAGATTACTGCTTTAAGTATTTTAAATTTGTTAATTGATTCAAATAATATGAAAATTTAACATTTTGTATTACAAGCAAAATCCAATGTAGCGGGCCTGGTTTTTAAAGAAACCTAGATGTAACGAACGAACCTTTTGGGTTTTCGAATTTCCTATACATGTAGTGTTATTTTATGCGGCTATAGAAATCCTCCAAATGCATAAAAATTAGATATAACGAATTTTGTGCATATCTTAGTCTGAATTATTTTGTAATTTTCTTAATTGTTCCCAGAATTTCTGCAATTTTCAACTCAAAAATTATAAAATTAAAAATTTATTCATGATAAATCTATTATAAATAGAGAAGGTATATTTCTAGTCTTTTTCTTTTATCCCCTCACCTTTCTCCGCGCTCTGAATAAAGGCTATAAGAGGCAAGTGTGGAACACAGTTCTCGGAAAACAGAACACACATACAGCAATAAACCTACCATAAGAAATCTCATTGTGTCACGCATTGACTCAAGAACCATTGATCAATTGATACAAAGCTACATTGAATTCAACCATTTACTCCATTAAAGTTTTTTTCATTGAGATTTCAGAGAATGCCCTTTTTAAATTTGATGTTGTGCTGTAAATTTTGAAACTCGTGTTGTTTAAGCAAAAAGAAAGCAAGGTTCGATTCTTATTAGTTTGAGGTTATGTAGGTGATTCGTCTTTTGAAAATGGACATTTTTTATCATTATTGGTTTGTATCCTGCAAAATTATCAACTTACTGTAAAACAGAAAAACAACAAAAAACAAATTTATTAATTACGCATAACAATAATGGAAAAATATATTTAAAGTGAATTTTTGTTTTGATGTTGTGACTTATCTCACTTGACATTAACTTCGGAACAAGCCCATGAAATTCATCGTAGCAAGGAGCGGAAGACTGCATCTGTCGTTGGAAGGAGTCTTGAGCACCACACAAGTGACAGTACGACTTTGCTCAGTTCTGCTTCCAATTTTGATGGAGAACACGTGACGTGTAATGCTAAGACAGAATTATTGCTTTTGACTGAGGAAAAAAAAAGAAAAAGACCAGGAAACATTCAGAAAATTAACCTTCTGGAAGGATTCGCAGCAGCACTGATGCAGCAAGATCGATATTATCGAGAACGCTTAAGAAACAGCGAGCTGCTTGAGGCCAGAAAAAAGCGCTCTGAATGCGCCGTCGCATGTATTTATTCAAGTATTTACTTTTCAGAAGATCTGTTTCACTTTTCTTAGCCATAATACTCTCAGCATATGACGCAAAGAATCTCATAGGCATATTACTGACTCATCCTGTACTTGAAGAAGATAAAAGTTATTTATGGTGTATCATCACCTTGCTTTCCCACATGGGCTGAGCTATAACGTACACTCTTGTGTTTCGATCCCACTGGATTGTGATGCCAATATCAGTATTGACCAAAGTAAACATCCCAGCAGAACTCACTGTGAACCCAGAAGTTTCAGGAACTACAGGCAGAGGATGCTCCCGAGTCAAAATAACATTCGAGGACCCTAAAACAAAGGAAAGTTTTAAACTCACTATCCAAGCAATTCTAAAATAACAAAATTGTTAATAAATAATTTCACATTTTCATTTAAGCTACGAGGGCAATTTAGCGATAACGTACATAATATATTTATAGATATCGAATCTGTAATCATAAATTAATTATAATACTGACTTAAGTGAATAAAAATATGCTGAATTATAAATTAAATTTTTATAATGTATGTTTACTGATTGCAGAGTTTTAATGTTTACTCTTTTATTTATAATTAGAGATGATTTTGCAATCATTTTTCAATTTTCTTTTTCAGAGTTCTCCACGCTTTTTAAGCGTTTCGTGTGTGATTCAGAAGTATGAAACAGATTGTTTATGACATAATTTCTAGCAGTGCAAAGAGGGAGATTTTTCATTAATCATAATTAACTGCCATAGTACAACTTAACAGAGCATCTTTCCTATGAGCTGTCTTTTCGAAATTTAGAATGCATTCAAATCTCCTGGAACTACGCATGAGATATATGGAACTTATTTTAATATTACCTTATCTTAAACATTGCTGTCAACTTTACGGCACTAATATACAGTTGAATATTGTCTTAGAGGGAAAAAACATCGTTTCCTGATAAAATCCGGTATTTCTTTCGCACAGTTTCATAGCTTCAATGAGATTTCAGAACGTTTGAGTATGAATCTCTGTTCACCGTCTGTCCAAGGATTGCAATGCTGATATTCTTAACCGCAATAAATAGTCTGGCACAATGTGTTTTACTGATGAGTGTAACCATCTCTGAAAAGCTTACAGCTCTGAAATTGTGCATCGTGGCTAGTATTTCACTATAATATGCATGCCGTAATAACGCCATGGTTTACGCCCTTCATTAAAGTTGTTTGAAAGTATAAACGATGACTTTTTTCCCGTCCGTATACAATGAAAAAAAGAAAAGGAAAATAGGTTGCTTTAAATTAAGAATTTCGCCAAGTAAATTATTCTTGGCGAAAACTGAAAGGAAAACGCCAAGATAAAGTTTTGAATTTCTCCATAAATTTCGCACCAAATTTTACAAAATTCAATACTTAGGAGTAATTTGAGTCATAGAATCGAAATGTGGAAATGAATTGGCATGTCATTTCAGAAATAGTCCGATTTTGTGTCATGATGCTATATATAAATCTAATATATATCCTAAGTAGAGCTTTGAAGACATGAAAAACGCAATTTGAATTTCGTCATCTGGCCCAGTAGAACGGGAGACATAGAAATGTCCCTTTGTTTTCGCAGTGCACATATGCTGGGAATATAAATTGCTTCTGCTGTTCGGATTTTTAAGAAATGAAAACTTTCCCGCAGATCAGTTGCCCGTAAATTCTTGCTCACGCTCACCATTTCCAAGACAGCGACAACAAATTACCATCTACTTAAACATAACTCAGAAGTACCTTCTTTGTCACTGTATCAAAGCGAGAGTGTGTTGATGTACTTCTAGCCAACATGTTTCCTGTTGAGTTACTAATTAAAAGCTGCTGCATTTCCTGGAATAATATTAATACCTCAATTAACTAGTACATTTAATTTATGAATTCCTCGAGGAAACAATTAATCAGTAAGTTTCTATCTTCTTTTACTAAGGCTTTAAGAAAATTTAATACATGAGAGAAAATCCTTGTATGCAAAAGCCTGTTTAGTTGACGAGTTGATCTAAATTTCTGTTCCAAGAAACTTTTGCAGCTGATTTCCATTATTCTGTAAAGAATTCTGGGTGGAAAGTATTTTCTATCCGTTTGCAATTTTGGTTGTTATAAGTTTTATTTGAAAGTTTGATTGAAATTAATTCGAATTGTACTAACTTTGTCTCAGCTCTCTTTTATTCAGACTGAAGTCAACTTTTATTAATTTCAAAACTGCACTAAGAAGTTGCTGTTTACGATTAATTAATGGTTTTAGCTTAAAAAATGTATTACGCTCTTTAATTATTTTGATGCTCATTAATATACTGAGACGAACATATTCAATTTTTTACATTATATTCGATGCTGATTAAGAATTGAAATTTGCAATAGCCATACGGAAGAAAACACTTTGGTATATTCTCTCGCCCAATTGTGGGATATACGAATGTTACTTGAGAAAGAATAGTTTGTGCACTTTCTATCTGATAATTATATATATTTTAAATATATATAATATTAGGTATTCAAACAACAGTTTGAGTATTTCCTCTAAGATAACAAATTAAACAAATTAATTTTTCCTGTGTTTTTTAAGTTTTACTCTCTTTGAAAAGAAAAAAAGAGAAAATTCTTAGAAAAGAAACTTTTATGTGTGTGAAATAGAAAATTTTATTGCGTACGTGGAATAGAATATGAATAAAAGAAAGTTTTATGCGTGCATGGTGGTAGGAGGCAGTTCCTTCTTAACTACAATTTATTGGCAATAGTAACACAATAAATATAATCCTGAATTAGACTTGCGTTTCCAGTTACAGAACTGTATCTTCTTTCATTTCTCGCAACATTTTAAACATATATATATATATGTGTATATTTTACCCACGGGAATAACAGAAAGAGTCAACTGTAGTAATTTATAAAATTAATTCCCGAAACAGTTATTCAAAGCGTATATTGTTACAAAAAGAAAGGGCAAAATTTGGTTGCTTGCAAAATTATTTCGCCTAGCATTAATTTCATTAATTAATTTTTCTCTTCATTGTGACATTTTTGGGGGGGGGCTGTTAAATGTACTATTTCCGCAATTTATTTCCGCTACAATACAATTCCGCTGGAACACAACATGCATGAATATATCATGTGTGTACCGTCACGCTGACTTTTGTTTTGATTCGTGTCTTATGGCAGGATACGCATGGTATAATGTTTGCAGAAAATATTCATCTATGCGTTATTAGGCAGTGTTCGATACATATTCGTACTGTACGAAATAAACATTTTGCACACAGCACGTAATATCTTGTCCGGTTTTTGAAACAATTTGCAGTCATATGCTTTGTGAATAAACGTTAAAATCCTTGTAAAATCTATTTAATTACTTTCTGTAAATAATTAATGAACTATTCTGAATATATTTACAGTTTGAGAGACGCTTTGTAACATTTGTGGGCTTAGGATAAAGCAATAGCTAGCCATTCGGAATTTTATATTTAAATATTAAAAAAAAATGTGATTCTGATATGTCTTGAAAGGCATCCAAAACGAAGAACAGACTCAATGTTTTTAATACCTTAAGGTCATTCAACCGGATTAAATATTTTTCTGAGAATAATAATAATTTCATTTGTTAAAAAATATATTACTTAAACAAATATAATTCGCAAGAAAATTTTTGCGAAAGTGAATCTTATTTGTCTATATTTCATAATATGAAACATTAAAACCAACCTGCAATTACTAAGAGCTAAACAGTTAATAAAATCAGATAAGACGCAGGAATATACAAATATGATTAAAAGCATCCTGGAATGTTAATAGACGCTCGGAGGCAAACGCCAAGTTCCAAATGGAATCCATAAGAATTAGTAGACATATACCCTAAAAAAATTTAGAATCGAAAGGTTAAAATAGGAGATATATTTATTCAAATGAGAAACCTCATAAAGCAGTGTGTGTGGGGGGGATGCTTAAGAGTAGAAAGCCTTCTGGACAAAGCTGGGGGGGGGGTTAGCCTAAAACGAAACGGAAAACTTAGAATTTATGTGACTATACGAAGACTAATAAAAGTTAAATACTTAGGTTACAGTGCATGAAGAGAATGAAATTGAACGCAACTATTACTCTTTCATACTTTCAAGGTTGTAGGTAATAATTCACGAAAAACCGTATAACACTGTAGTATCAATTTCAGTCCCATTTCGTTTTAAATTTATTCATATTTCTTTCTATTATAATGTTAAATTATTAAGTTTCAAAGTTTATTAGTTATGCAAACAGTTATAAGATTCTTTAAATTCTAGTAGAATCAGTATTTAAATATAAAGCTGAAAACGGATATGTACTATTTTTTATTCTTTATGAACTCTAGCATGTAATTATTTTTATTGGCGTTTTCTCTTTTAAAAATGTTCATGTTTTATTCTACCAGCCTCTGTATTTTAATCTGCATTTATCTTATCCTGTAGAGTCTTTTAGATATTTTCAAAGTGGTAAACATGAAAATCAGCTATGCCTTCGCAGGGATTCCATCTTCAGATTTCCTGATTATTAGTCAATTGCTGTACCACTTATGCATGAAGTACGAAATTTCTGATTAAACAATCTAATGCTACAGAGAACATTTACGGTACGGTTGATTTAAAATGCATTTTGAATCAATATAAAATTTTTCACCTGCTCGGAGAATTGGATGAACTGATAAAATTAACTTTTTGTTTGTCAAGAACAAATCTGCCTTCCGAAGAGCATCGGCTCTATAGAGCATTTATTAAATATCACTCGTGTTACGTCACGTTGGATCGCTGCTGAATTCGCAACCATACTCCAAAACGTTTTCGATGAGAATCATCTATAAAATAGCTTCAATCAATGAAATTAGATTTTTCTCAGCGTCTTTTTTTTTGTTTAATAAAGTCTTTATACGAAAATAGTTTTAATTATAATTCTCGCTCTCCATGAATACTTCCCCAAGAGATGCATCTCATAAATATGAATTACATGAATACTTACGAGCCAATATAACTGATAAATATCAAAAAGGAATGTTTTAAAACTCATAAATATAAATTGCTTCTCTTTTGAAAATCTGCTTCGATTCGATAGGGATAAATTTAATTAAAAAATTTGCACATGAAATAGGACAGACGTTCAGAGTAATGCTTTCTTGAGCTATCTAGATTCCTTCATTTATCCTTGAAGTTAATTCAGCCTTTCAGTTTGGCACAAAAGTACGAGTAAAACAATGACGTTACTAATTCCTAAAAGGATATCTGGGATACAGTTCTTGTATATTTTTAACTACGTAAGGTATTTTTTAATTTTTAACAGTCAGCATTTCAATCTGATGTTTTGTCAGCTTTTTTTCATTTGAGAAATAGTATGTAAGAGAGAAACGAAACGACAGAGAGAAAATGTGAATATTCTTGACTGCGTAGCTTCGGAAATTAACTGCAATTTAAGAAAGGTGATCTGTTTCAATTGCTTGTGTCTGACGCGATGAAATGTTAAGGACTGAGCTGCTAAGTATTACTAAGAAGTTTGGTTGCCTGGCGTAAGTGTATTTAAATCAAATTTATGTTTGAAAACGCATAAAAAAGCAAGCAAGCTTTCTTTTCAGATGTAAATTCTGTTGTGGAGCGAAATTCTGTAAAGTAATTAATTCATAACTTATTAAAAATTAATTTATTTATATTCTAAATTTATGCTACACAACTGGTATTTTATTCAGTCTCTGTGCTAATTTGTTTAAATTTAATTGGGGTTTTTGATACTTAAGAAATGTACGTTCTTTTCACTCGTTATTCTGTGAACGCGCTGGACACAGAATGGAATCAGGTGTTTTTCTACGTAATAATCTTGTTTTTATATTAACTTAAGTTTACCTATTCATAACTTATACCACTAGAAGAAGAAAAATTAGCTCTTTAAGATTACATTCAAATTTGTAGTTTTAACAGATGTTAAATTATTTAACTAAATTTTCCATTTTTCATTGCATCAAGAATTTGGGGGAAGGAAGTAGAAAAAGACAAAGCTTTAGCAAGATTTCTAACTCTCTTCTTTCACTGATAAGGGATTTCCGGTGGGGCGAGTAGGTTTGCTAGTTCGGCCTTCGCAGCTGGTTTTTGATTTGGCAATCGTTTGGCGACGCTTGAATTTGTGGTTAATTTAACGCTTGGGAAAAATGAGAAATTTTATAAAGCGTACGGCGGGGGGGTTAAAAAAACTGGTTTTATTCACAATTTCTAGCGCCTGTTGGCCAATGCGGCAGTCTCTTCTCTTCATATCTAAAAGAAGTTGCAGGCGGGAATTTCCCTCTCTTGCTTTTTTACTCTTGTGTTCTCGCATGTTTTTCTGGTCTTCGCTGCTCTCTCGTCTGGGACGCTGAAATCGTAGTTACATCGCATCGTTTAGCTGTAGAAAAATATAATGCGGAGGCTGTCGTTGGAAAGTCGGTCCTTAGTGACCTAATAGGAAAAGAGGTTGATCACCCGTGAAAGTATCACGATGCTTCTAAAACTTATTTGCTCTTTGACAGCACTCACCGATTTGAAAATATATCTCCTTGTTCAAATTCTATTGGTACCGCTTCATTAATATTTCAAGCCATGGCACTTCTATGGGAGTCAGAGGCCCCGTCCTTAATCTACTTGATGTAGTCACCCAGATGTCCAGATTCCTGTTCTACTTATTCTTATTGCTGTACTCAACAAGATGTCCAGTGTCCAGTTCTACTTATTCGCCCGGCTGTAGTCAACAAGAGGACCGAATTTCTTCCCTGAAGCGAGAAGTTTCGCCCAGCTTTCTAACAGATCCTGCGGTATTCCGGTTAAATCCAGAGGTGGAGCTTATGTTAACTAGACGGAATTCCAGCTATTTCCTTGCCGTACTTTTTCTAGCTGAGAAAATTACTTTTATTTGGTTTACTCCTTCTTTAAGTTTGTAAAATTCTAAATGTAGCTTAATTTCTTCAAGAGTTTGCAAGGATTTTCGAAAAATGTTAATTTTCTTTAAGGTTTCCTTAATTAACTAACTTATTTTCAAGTGACCCCTTAAATGCTTTACGGGAAAATTTTAGATATTTCAAAGGATAGTGAAGAGGAGTAGTAGAGGTTGGACGTCTAAATTTTCTCTAATGTATATTCAAATCATTATTTAAATTGATTTTGAAATAGATTAAATTACTTAATTGTTTGGTTCTCACACTGACTTTTGTGTCATCTCTCTGGTGCAATATTAATTTTACATTAACGCAGTAGTTGTCATGAACTTTATTTCTAATTTTTTAAATGTGCAATATGTTGGTTAATATTTTGTTCTGCAAAACCTTTTATAAATACATTACTAAAGTAGATTTAATTAAGTAAATATAAGAAATAAGAAGATAAAATTAAACTGAATAAGGCTATGTCACAAGTCATAAATAAAAATAATAATAATAGTCTGTTCCTAAGTATGATGTGCAATTAAATTTTCCATTTTCCCCTTTTCTTTAAATTTCTCCCGGGATGAATTTTTTTTTCTATAGAATATTTTAAATGTTTTAGATGAACTAGAATTGATAAATAAATTCCATTCGATAACATTTATATGTTTTATTTACCTTGTATTATTACTCATGATCTTCACCAGTCATCAACACGAGGTTATTCCGGTTTAATTTACACAACGCAATTCATATTTTATGTCAGACTTGAGGAAAAATTAATTTGTTCTTAGTCACTTCTTAAAAGGACCACGCAACAATTCTTGTCTTTGCAGTCTTACTAAGTACTTTTGTTGACGTTCACGAGAAACTGTAGCGTTGACGCCAAAACTATTTCCAGACTGAATTATTTGACCTTAACAAAGCACACTAGAGCTATAAGCCTTAGGCCTCGTTTTTGTGGAAGAGTTTCTTAGGGAAAGTGACTTGCATTTACATCAGAAGGAAGTGAAAGACAGAAAGCGCCTGTGCAGTCAATCTTATGGTCGGGAATCGAACTTAAATTGAATTACCAGTACTCAGCAATCGTATTCACTTCTTCACTGATGGATATATTTTATTCTTGGCGAAGATTAGTTAAACTGCATCCATAATTTTATAGGATAATAGGAAGTTTCTTCAATCAATTCAAGTATTATATAGTATTATAATACTTATTAGTAATATATATAATATTATATACTTATAGTATTATAATACTTATTAGTATTAATTAGTAAGTATTATTATAGGAAGTTCAATTTGTTCGTTTAGCAGTTGCACAACATTGCAATCAAAGTTCTCACATACTAATATATTAGATATTAAATAATAGACACTGCTTCAAAAATATAGGAATTAAAAACTGATGTTATTCTTTTTTATATTTAGCAATTATAGACGCAGCGCAAATATATTCGAAAGTTCTTGATCCTATCTTTACTAAATACTTTATATGTTCTATTCATAAAATGAATAATGTTTTCTGAAGTAATGAATACCGGTTTGACAAAAGAACTGTAGAAGCAATTCCAGATTAATAATTAAGATTCTTTTCTCAGTCTGATTTATTCTGCATTTTATCAGCCTAAGCAAAACTGGTAAAAGATAAGACTGAAACCAGAAACAAACTATGCAGACTCACATAATTAAATAACAAAAATGTGAAATAACGAGTTTATACTTAACTAGCATTCATTAGATTATGTTTGAAATAAAAGCAAATCTGAGACATATTTCTTGAACTCTTCACAGATGAAAACATATTGTCAGTATTGGTAAAATACCGCATTTGGTTAGTTTTATTTGGGATAAAAAGATTTCGGGTACAAGGCGAAAACTTTCTTTTGTTCAGAAAAAAAAAATATTTTTCGTATATACAATGATAATGTCTCAATATATAAGACATATAAAGACTCTCTTCTGAGCCAAAAACAGAAATAACAATTTCAATAGATAAAGTCTCTAAATATGTTCAGACAGTAAAGAACGAAATTAAAACCATTCCTAAAACCTACGACCACTGATGAATGTTCAGGGCTTCAAGGATATCTTTCAGAATTAAATTAACTATTACCATTTAAATGGTTTGGCATTTAGTTATAATTAAAATCGTGTTTATAACTTGCAGAGTTGCTAAGTTTTTTAAAGAAAGAAACATGAAAATGAGCCGTGCCATTGCCGGAATTGGAACTCTGGACCTCTTGATGCTAGCCGTATGCGTTTCTAATTACATCACGAAAGCACGCAGTAAGCATGGAGAAATACGTTACAGACCTTAGAAGCCGAACCGCATTACTTTAATTCAGAGATAGCATAATAGTGAAATATTTCATGGTTATTTCACGTAAATTTTAATTATTTCTATGATAATAGTTAAGTTTAAAGCAAATTTTTTTAACATTTTCAAAATTTAAGATTATTCTTTCTTGGATTTATTTGTTATTTTCGCAAGAAATTCTGTTACTTGGACAAAACGTAAGTACTTCAATAATTATTTCGTATCTATTTCAATATACCTTTTAAAATCATATGAAAACACGGACATGAAACTGTATAAATATAAAGCTGTTATAGTAGATATAAAGCTGATATTTATGGCACTAATTTATCAAAACATAATACAGGCACCTGAAGAGAATTCTTACAAACACTGTTATTAAAATCATATGAGAAGATAGAAACACTGAAAAATTACTAATTAATATAAATAAAATCTAACCTAGTGTAATAGAAACAGCCTTTCCACATTTAGCTCCTCCTCCGATTCCACAAGGGACGTTTTGAATGACAACCGAGAAAATAACAGAGTCAGTAACGTGTGCTTTCACCATGACATAGTCACATATGCCGTCAAAATCGAAAAGCCGACCGTCGAACGTTTCGAAATGGGAATCGCCCCACGCACTACACAGACCAGGACAGGGGTTCGAATCACAATTCCATGAACCACCTTCGCATATGCTGGAATAGAAACAAAATTTTACGTTGAGAGGATAAAAATAATATCATTACATGTATGGTAATAATGCAGAGTAACTACGAGTATATCATTAGCTAGTATAGAATTTCATAGGATTTATACATTTGTGCAATTGTGATCAAGAGCTGTTACAGGATTTCTATTGCAATAACGAACTCATAGATATTTTCCAGTAATAGTTAGTTTTTGTTAGTAGTCTGTTTACAATAGATAGAGAATTTTGCTACCATGTTAATCTTCAGGGAAAATGAAAGAAAGAGAACGAAAATAGTAACAAGGAAAATAATCACTTTAATAATAAAAACAATAAATAATATTTTTTTGAAATCTACGTTTTATCTAAATTTAATTTATTAACTGTAGAGAAAGGCTTGTTAAAACGACGTAATAGATAAAAAACTGGGATAGTTACTAATTTATATTATTAAAGCTGGTTGAATTATAAGTTTAAAAATAAAACGTAATTATTTAAGGTGAATGTCTAGGGCTAATTATGGGGTTTACTCAAATGCACCCAGTAGATAGTATTGTGGAATACAGGATACTATTTTCTTCCACATTATTAGTCCAAAGGAGCATTAGCTCAGAAGGGCTATTAGTCTCGAAACGGGAATTTGTGTTGAATCACTGTTAACCCTTTCCGGAACGCTACCTTTTAAAGTCCGAGTTTTGATAAAAAAAAGTTAGGTAGTCTAATTAGGCCTAGAGGAGTACGCTAGCAAAATTTTGTGAAGATAGAACTTATTCTTTTTTTTTTGTGGGTGTGCCCTGATTGAATAAAGCTTCGAAAAGTGTGCTGAAATGAGCATTGTTGTCAATGAACTGACCTATGAGATGCATAGAAACAAAGAATACAGACTCTCAGTCGTCCTAGATTATCGGTGAGCCCAATTTGGGCACACCTAGGGTTCGCCGTTTGATTTTAGGCAAGATTTCAAGGTAAAAATTTAAAACTAATATAGAATAAGGAGATTAGCGTACAGTCAGAAAAAACATAGCAATTTCTTTTCAAACAATTCCTTTTATACCCTAAAAAAATCTGGAAGATTTCTTTGAGAAATGAGGGTCTTAAAAAACTAAACATGGCTAAAATATATGGACTGGTTTGTGTTGAATAGTTAGTTTTGAATAGCCATTTACTATAAATAAAAAAATCAATGACAACACTACGGAAAAAGTTATCTCCAGTGCACGAAATTGTCTATGGGAAATTCTAAAGCTATACTATTTTTAAATATTTTGTGATATTGCTCTTGAATTGAGTTTTATGTGGTTTAAGTGCGAAGAATATGATATTTAATAAATAAAGGTAATACACAAAATGATAGAAAATATCCCTTTAGGCGTAATATAAAATCTAAAAGATTTTAGATATTTTTATTTATTTATTTTCATATCCATCAAGTTTTCCGTCAGCGTAAACTGAGGAATCCCGCATTTAAAAGGAACAAAAGATCGTAATGTATTATTATTCATTTTGTTTTATCACTTTCATTCATATGGGTATTTTATTTGCACTTAAAATGTGACATGACTACGTTGTTATATGTTCAAAAAATTTCTGGTTATGCGTTTTTGATATTAGCCTGACAGTTCTTTTAAAATTTGAATTTGCAGTGGAAGCTTTTGGCTATAGAGAAACCGTCTGTGAGACAAACTATACTAGACGAGCACAATTTTTCTAGTTGTAAAGTTAAGAAATTTATAATAGATTCAGGAATATTTCAGTTTAAAAAAATCTGTCGTTCAGCAGTTGTTTATTGCATTTTAAGGATATATGTTGCAGAATAAATTATTCCAGCCTAATCTCCTTAAAAAATTAGAGAGACTATCACAAGCTGTTTTCACTCGTAATCAAAAGATGCATAATCCAGTGAGAAACAGAAAAGTAAGATTCACTGCAAATTTAAATCGAAAGGAATTATAGGAAATCATAGCGAATCCAAGGTGCTGATTTTCAACGTCTTTAATCTATGTTAATTCCAAAGCAATTTTTTTAATATTAAAAAAGGATTCCTTCCACAAGACACCTAAATTTTACGATTTGTTTATTCTAACAATGTCAGAAGTAAATTGATTACCGAAAAGCAATTTGCTCTCATCAAATGAACATTAAGTCTTATCTAGTCTTTCAGATAATCTGATATTATAACATGTTTCAGGTACTGTGGCATAGGTTAAATACATAAAAACATCTAATGCTTTAAGAGTTAAGTAGGGAAAAAATTAAATACACAACCTATATTCTTATTAAAATATATTATAAAAACTTTGATAGGTGTGATTATATAAGTAATATAAATTATTTATTTTAGACTAACACTGCTCTATTGATTTGGCAATTAAGTGACTACTGATTCTTCAGATATGTGGCTTTAGTACATTCGTATCTTTTGTCACTGAGTTAAAAGCACTTAACATATATTCTTTCTTGTTGTTTAGATTTCCACTTAGTAAGAAAATGTTAACCGATCAGTTATTTAGTTTCTTTTTTATTCCAGTTTAAAAATGGGGAAACAAAATCCGCATTTCAGACATATTGTGTTATTTTTGAAAAATAATAAAATAAAATATGTCGCAATCATACCTGAAGTTATATGCCGTATCCAGGAACGAAACCTTGAAAGAAAGGCAATGTCTAAATTTCGTTCTGGTGCCAGCTAATGGGAGCATATTTCAAGGCCATTATCGATTCAGATTATAATAGATAATACGTGAGATTGGAAAGAAGTTTAATGTATCATGTACATTTATTAAAAAATTTCAATAACTTGGCTATATTAAGAAACTCGATTGAGCGGTCCCTCATCAGCTTGAGGAAATTTTTGTCGGAACGCATTAACATCTGCAATTCGCTTAATGGCGAAGAAAATAACATTAATTGAAAGAGAAAATGGATGAGGCAGGATGAACCAGACAACATAAAAAGCAGAGATTCATAAAGGAATTGTGCACTTTGAACTTTTTGTAAGAAACATCAAAAGCCTACGTTCAACACCAAAGTGTGCAATGCACAACTTACCAAACTGTGCAATGCAAATCACGAAAAGCGGCGAAAACTGGCAAATCATAATATGTTGCTTTCCAACATGGTAATGCAAAGCCCCACACATCTTTAGCTACTCGCCAGAAATTACTGGAACTAGGTTAGGATGTGTTGTCATATTCACCTTGAACTAACCTTGCGTCTTTAGATTTCCATTATTTTTGTTCAATGCAGAACTCCTTAAAAGGTAAAACTTTTAATGACGCTGATTATATAAAATCTAATTTAATTCAGTTTTTTGCTGACAGAAGTCAAAACGTATATGAACATGGAGTTATGAAACTTTGAAAGGTGGCAAAAGATTATTGAAAAAGCACGAAGAATATATAATTTAATATACATTTTCAAGTTAAAAATTTTGAATTTTATTTCTTATTTAAAATCCGCAATCACTTAATTGCCAACCGAATAGTTACGTTAGTATTTTAAAAGCATTAAAATTTCGAGAACGTCACTGCTATTTTACGTTTAAATCGAGCATGCCTATCGTCAAAACATGATCGTGTGTTTACAATATTTTACAAAATTACTATATTTTATTATAAAATTTAATACTGTGAATACACTTACCAAGTATTGCAATCCATAGTCACTTGAGCTCCTTCTTCATAACTCCTTCCACTGTGATGGCAAGGGCAATTCTGAGGCTTCACACATATATTGGATGTAGTATCCAGCACGTAGCCTTTCTTGCATCTGAAGGAGAAATATCATTGCGAATAATGTAAATACCCTTGTAAATAAGTAAATTTTATGATGCGCTCATTAGTATTTTTTCACTAAATAAATTACACAAGCATTTGCATGTTTTTATTAATTAGCTGTAATTAGCTTCAGTAGCTGTCAAACAAAAAGCTGATTTGGCTTCCAGTAACTATTGATACCTGACTCTGGAACCACACCAAATCTGAATAAATGTATACATATATTTTTTTTTTCAGAAATGTTTTTTTCCCTCAGATTTTTTTTCAGATAAGGAGGGGGAATGATCTTCCAACAATGATGAGAAAGGTGCGTGAGGCTAAAGAGGTTGGAGATCGCAGGGCTAATATTTTTTCAGACACTTTAATTAGTACAAAATGTTAGCTTAAGAGCCAGTTAATTTGAAAGGTAATCTAAATCAACAAAGGAAACGAATTTTAAGCAATTTTATCATTACTCATGTCTTGACTGCAGTCTGGTCTGCAATTTCTTGGATGTATTTATATAAAAAACTATACCTTACACCCTATCGTATGGGTAACAACCAATGCAGCTCATTATAACTGTTAGTGCTATTGGTTGCTGTATCGTTCGTTGGAATTGATTCCGAATCTCGGAGAAGGTATAGACGTTTAAGAGTATAGTGTCTGTTCGGTAAGGCAACATTCAAAATATATGGTAAGAGGAAAGTTTTCTAAAGTGGTTTCTGATATGGCGAGCTGTATACCTACAAATATGTAGAGTAGAATCATTTATTTCACAAATAAATTGGAGTATAATATTCAGCAAACAGCTAAACAAGATTTCTTAAAATAAGTTGCAAAGATTTCTTTGACATACTATAGAGCTAAATGAGCTCTACAGCATATTTTTTGCATATCTAACGAGGATAATTTAGCGCCTTTATTTTCATGAAGAGCGTATTTTCAAAACTTGTATGGGTAATGTCACCATATTCGTGATCGCTTTGTTTTAAAATTAAATGAAATAGAAACAAAACTGTGACTGAACTTTCTCCTGTTGATCATTCGGGTGTGTTAAGTTCCTCCAATTTATAACACTCAATAAACAGAAAAATTTAATTTTGAAAATTATGTAAATGTATTTGGTAACAAGGTAATAAATAAATATAGGTAAAAAATAAGCTATTTAATAAATTTATAAATATTTTTCTAAATTTATTTATTTATTTTTAAATTTCTAAAATATTTGAATTTTGCGAATTAATATTTTACCGCAAATCTCAGTAACTTGCTTCTGAGTTAGATTATAATCCAAATTACTAAGGTACAATAATGCATTCTGAAAGAGATACATCGTAAAAAATAAGAAATGCTAAAATATCCTTAAACGGATTTATAAAGCCACCGGAAAGTAATAAATGACATGCTAGTATTTCCAGCATATTTCTTACTTCATAACTTGTTTTGATATACTCAAAGACACTTGGAGGTTTTTAGCTGTATAATTATTAATAGAAATTTTATGAAAATGCTTAGGGTACGGGATGTTTAAATCCTCAAAGGAATGTTCTGAACTTCCTTAAAAAATTCTATAAGTTTTTCTTTAGATTACGAATAGCACTGAATAGAAAACATTAAAATTAACAAAAGAGTATCCATTGATTATATTGATAATTAAAGTACACTAATTTGCTTCGATTAATCCTATCCAAAAAATTTGATATTTTTAACAGAAGACTAAGAAATACATAGCATAGATGAAATTTAAAAATAAACAAAGATATTTGAAAGGTTTTAGATTTTCCCATCAGGTAGCAGAGGGAGATCCAGATTCAAGGAAATATAAGATAAAATGTACAGGACTGAAAGGATCATCTAAAAAAATAAAATTTAATTAGCAAAACTAAGGTAGTCTTGAAATTTGTTTGCAATGAGCTCACGGGGACATATGGTCCTGTGCGAAAACATTTACGTGTAATGAAGTCATTCACTGTTACAGTTAGTGTCAAATATGTAACATAGCGAATCTTCCAGAAAAGATTTAATCAGTACGATTTTGAATGCCATCTTACATCCTTACTCGCCGGATGAAGACACAATTAAACAAAGGTTCATTAGGACGCTTTACATTAGCAGTAACTGGACTTCCACCCCAGGGTCTAGGACTTTTCGCCGTCGCCATTTCGTTTCGCCGTCGGGCCGTTTTGCCGTCGGGCCGTTTCGCCGTCAAGACATTTTTCTTTACATGACTGTATTATATCTCCTCGTATTATACTCGTATAAAATTTAGTTATTTTAATAATTCTGTTTACAAAGGTTGCTTACATATACGTGTTCACCAGTATGAGATATAAAGAAATTATACATAGTTATAAAATTATGTCAGTATCAAAGAGAATTGGGGCTAAACCTCTGATATAAGAGAAGTTATATTATCGATTTCAAAATTATGCAGGAACAAGGTTTACACGATTCGTCAAACTTTCTTGAAATTTTAATCGGTAATAAGAAAAATTACTTATGCAAGCAGAAAATTCACATTTTTATGAAATCTGAATTGAAAACGGAATTATTTTAGAATCCTGTCAGCACATTACTCTCTTAAAATTAATATGTCATGCGTAACGATGTATTTGTATAAAATTGTATACAAAAACATTATATATATTATCAAAAAGCTTTTAATACGAGGAATTTGGTAAACTGTAAATGTTAAAAAAACTGTTTAGGTCTTTAAATGGCAGAAATTTAGAAAGTTCTTTTATGTGATTTATTTAAAGTACTTGCAAGAAATTGCAAAAGGTTTTTTTCCTTTTAAACTTTTAAGACAGCCAAAGGTATGCAATAGGTAAAAAATATTATTAAATTAAATAAACTTTATAATATATTATGGCAAGATATAGTAGAGGCATATAAAGAAAAATATCTCTTAAATATACAATAGGTAAACAGAATTATTAAACTAAATCAACTTCATATAATAAATAAGTCAAGATATAATACAGTTATGTAAAAGAATAATATATATTGACGGCGAATAGTCCCATTCCCGCACCACACATGATCTTATTCTTCCTTCGAAAAGCACCAGTACAGGATGGCGTAGAATTTATCATCGTTTAAGGTCATTAATAACACCAATCCTGATTTTTAGGGAATGCTGGAGGATTGGTCATTTTCACAGCTTAATAAAATTAGCAGAAATTGAATTCTTTGACAAAATTGGAATAGACCAAATAGTCTTTAAATAGCAAACCTAAGTTATTGAACATATGCTGGCTGGATTAAACTACTTTCTCAATCAAGAGAATATCATCAGTAATCTGCAATAAGGTTTCAGATAAAGTGTCTCACCTAACAATGTTCTCCAAGCATTATTAGACAGGATCGCTGATAATCGAAACGCGGACAGACATACCGTAATAACTGCATTCGACATTCAACAGGCATTCGACTCGCTCTGGGGGTCTGATGTGGTGAGGTGCCTTGATAAAATAAGATATCCTCTAAAAATCATACAAATCCGCCGCAGCTATCTACAAGATCATTACGTTAAATTACCATTAGCAAAGGCGTAATTAATCGTAAATTAGGCAGAAGTTGCCCACATGGCTCTTGCTTAGGGCCAACATTATCGAATCTAGTAGCAAATGCAGCCTTTGCAAACTTATACTGGATAAGTAACTTGTATATTTTCATGTGTAAAAATCACCAAATTGCACAAAGTTTGTAGCGTTAATACGTAAGTACTCTTATTTATACCTATATAACATTGAAAGAGAGGTACCTATGTAACATCAGCATATGTTCTTTTTTTAGATTCTATTGACTTTGCAATAGAATATTTTGAAATTACAGTTCTAAGTGTAATTTAAATGTAGCAAATGAGATGCATGAACTATGTATATAAGTAACTATATGGAATATTGAGAACCGATAAGATATTCTATTTTTGTACTAACTTTCAGTATTATAATTTTGTGCAATATTCTGTATTCGATATTTTGTAGATTTAGTGCTTTATCATTATTAAGCATTTAAACTGCAAGAAAGTAATATAGAATAGGATTATGATATACTCCCGTTTTCTTCTGGATTTATATAGATTTTGCTATAGATTATTTTAGCACTGTATTTCCAAGCGTAATTTTTATGCAGCTATAGAATCGTGTGCATTCAACCAGTAGTGCAATTTTTTTTTGAAAGTATAACCATTTTTGTATTCTGTACTTACATGCAGAATTCAAATATTGTAACGTTTCGTTTGGCAAGAAAATCGTTTCAACAAAATTGAACTTTAATCAGTGAAATATATTTTACCCTTTCGATGACCTTTTGCCAACTTTCTTTGAACTTCATAATTCCACACTCATAGAACTCTACATTAGCAAAAAACGCAACCAAGCACGATTTGAAGTCACCGTTTTTAGTCAAATTTTTACCATTTAAGAAGTTTTCTAAACTTCAAAATAAATGATAACCTGATGTTTCAAGGTAGGGGCTGTATGGAGGATGAAACATCACTTCTCAATCAAGCTTCAATAATTTCGTACATGTTGTTAAAAATGGCCTAACTTTGTCGTGCTAGAAAGCGATTTCTTCGTCATTTGCCAATTCTGGCCTTTTCACTTTGATTGCATCCTCCAGTTTCATAAGTTCCTATCTGAATCATCATGCTTGGTCCATGATATTTTTCGACTAATATTATTGCAGACGATTAATTTTTCATCACCAGGGATAATTCATATTAAAAAAGGATCGATTGCGTTACGTTTGAAATGCGTATCGCAAATATTGATTCGTTGCTTTAAGTGAATTTATTTCAGCTCATGCGGAACCGAAATACCGAGTTTCTTAAGGAGTCCAAGATATTTCATGTGACTTGCAGTTGTTGTGTGTGATAAATTTAATTGTTTTGTGATTTCGCGCGTAGTAATATGACGGCTGGATTTGTTTCTATAGCAACCTAAAGGTATCAACTGCCAAATCTCAAAAGAAAAGAAAATATAAGATTGAAAGAAGAATAACAAA